AGCAGACCTTGGCATCATCCACGTGGCGTTTTAGGCGCATTCAGAATGCAGGAGTCCTAAGGTTAAAAAGGCTTCCACCTCGATTTCAAAAGAAGGCCTGGGAGGCCAGGCAGTGTGCCCCTGGGAGGCAGTATGTGAAGCAGAGAGTAAAAAGCCTAGTCAGCAAAAACCCAAAAGTTTAAAAAAGCCAGAAATGTGGATGATTTAAGAAAAACTGCAGGGGGCCTGGCCTTAGCTCAGTCCTTTAAGTGGCTGCTTCCACAAAGCTGGCAGCCTCAGGTTGCTGGAGTTTGAACCTCACAACCCTCCCGCTGGCCAAAAGTGCCCTGAAGGCATTAGAGGAACCAAAAAAAAAAAATAAATAAATAAAAAAAAAGAAAAACTGCAGGTTGGCCAAATAGTTCAGTGGATTAAAGCACCTGTGAGCAGGCACTGGGGCTGCAAGTTAGATCCCGGGCCTGCAGTGTCGGCCCTGCCCCCAGGGCACACTGAGACAGTAATGGAGACTGGGCATGGTGGCCCAAGCCTGTAATCCCAGCTCTTGGGAGGCTGTAAACAGGTGGATCACAACGAGTCTGATCTAGCAGCGAGACCCTGAACACCCTGTAGACCCTTCCCTAAAAAATACACACACAAAAAAAGAAAAAGAAAAAAAGAAAGGAAGGAAGGAAGGAAGGAAGGAAGGAAGGATGGACGGACGGACGGATGGACGGAAGGAAGGAAAGAAGGCAGGCAGGCAGGCAGGCAGGCAGGCAGGCAGACAGGCAGGCAGGCAGCCAGCCAGCCAGCCAGCCAGCCAGCAAGGAGGGAGCAAAGTCAGCCTAAGAAAAAAGCCATGAGAGCTACCACCATGAGTGCCATAGGGGCAGAGCCACACAGAATTCACAATTTACCAGATTCCTTCATATATTCCACAAAGACTTATAGGATTTAATGTTTGCTCTGCTGCATTTTGGACTTGTGTTGGTCCCAATGCTTGGTATCCTGCTGTGTGTACCTTTTGGAATGGTAACGTTTATCTTGTGCATTAAATGTTAAAAGTGTTTAACTTTCTTTTCATCTATACAGGGCTCACAGCTAAGAGTTTGCCTTAGATCTTTGAGGAGACTTGAGCCTTGGACTTTTCAACAATGCTAAAATTGACTGGACTTCGGCAACTCTTAGAGATAGACTAAAATATCTTTTGCACGAAGATATGCATGAGATTTTGAGGGGTCAAGGGGCAGATTATTATGGTTTGTGTCTAGTTGTCCCCCTAAAACCTCATGTAGTCATGGGGCAGGGACTTCTAGAGTATGAAATTAACTCATGATCCACTGGGATAATGGGTCTTAGTACTGCTGGGATTATGGCTGTGGGTACTTCCCCCAGCCTGGGGCAGAGAGCCTGAATGCAATTTCAGACAGAGAGACTTCCTCTCTGTTGCCATCTTTGCTGCTGCTCCTCCATTTTTTTT